CGTGTGGGCAGCTGGCAAAGTTAGAATGTCCGTGATGGCGCTTTGAAGAAGCTGCATCTGATCCTGCGAATTGAGCTAAAAATAAACATTGGCACATCTGCTAACACCATTCTGGCCTTTAGTGAGCATTTTTCAAGCATTTGGATGCTAGCTTACTGAAGAAAACCCAAGCATCTGAATTGCAAACCCAGGCAGACGGCAAAATAGTGGGTTCGGTACAGATGGAATGGGCTTGGCATTTTTCGACCAGACACCACCCTTCGCACCACCCCGAGGCTGGTCACCTCTCTGAAGAGGGAAGTGACGAGTAGTGGCCATAACCCAGTAGTGGCCACAACCCACGTCGTACAAACTGGGACGGTCGGAAATGGGAAACAAACAAACAAACGGACAGCGTTTGCCGCTAAATTAGAATGAGTTTCACTCACTATTTATGGAGTTGGCTTGTTGAGGTTAGTGAGGAGGATGATTGCCAACATTGCGACTTCGAAGTCGTCAACTTGAGGATTGTGCAATACGAAAGCTGCGGAATGAATACCCAAGCAGCAAGAGTAATTTGCGTTTCTATTTCCTGGATAATTTATTCACTACATTGTTGGAACAATCAACTAGCTTCCATATATGGCGAATAGTTTAATGGAAGCAACCTTTTCAGTGAATGTGACGTCATTTTGACTTTGTGATCTTCATCCAGACGAAAGAACTAAGCCATCCGACAAGCAGCATGTCACAAGCCTTATGCACTGCATCTGAACGGGGATCCTACGAACAAGATCGCAGTTTTAAGCACCTCGACGTGACAAATCGTCGGTGGCTGTGACAATGACTCTACTATTGATTCACGTGCAGTAGTGTGACCAACGGCCAATTCCACACGCACCTCGACGCATCACTTAGTATTTCGATAATTGTGGTGGTGACGGAGGTGAATGGGTAAAACAGGCGAACACCGAGAGAGCCCGTCACCAGCTGGCATGTACCGCAACCTCTCAAGGCCTTACATACAACCACCATCTAGCACCTGCTGCCAACGCTACTGGCCAATTTCACCACGGTAGACACACTAGACACGACGGTTTCAACCACCTGGCCTCCATGTTGCTAGATGAAGGACGCGCGCCACTACGTTCGGCCACCGGGTTGCCCATCTCCTACCACACTCTAACAACACCATGTCGTCTATCACCTTCTCTAATCTAGCTAACCATCTCTGTCCAATTTTGCAATTCACCATTCAGGTCGTAGCAGGCTACGACGAAGTCACCCAACCACTACGCGTCCCTCGACTTACAATGACACCTCCCGATACGTCATCTCGACATCATCTTCAGTCTGAGTCTGGAATGAACATCTTCATGGTGATTGCCAGTAATGATCCAATACAAATTACCACTACGCTGGCATACGCGATCATCATTTGATGTGTGGGCCCTAGTAACTCGACAATCTATTTCTTGTCGACCGTGTCTCAGTTTATTCTGAAACATGGATGGAAAAAATGATCCGGGTGGTTTCTCGAATAACTTGACTTCACCGGCACAGCCTCCACCGGCACACAACACGAATCCATGCCCACCCACATTCAGGTTCAGCCGCGTACAATTCCTCGGAAACGCGACTTCCAACTTCTTCGGCCTTAACTGCTGGCCTATGAGGAATGGAGATCAACCAACAGGTAACAGCCAATTAGTTGCCTCGACATCTCACCAGCCATCTCACGATGTGAACAGTGGAGTTTTTGCCTCGAGCTCGCAGGGCGTATGTGAAAAAGCAACAGGTCAGACACCTGTTCGGACCGAGGGAACATCCTCGTCGCCAAACCGGATTTAAAGTGAAACTAATTTAGAGCCAAGCACACGACGCCAGCGTAGAAGTAAGTATTAGTGTGATATGTGCCTCCATTAGGCTCGTACAAAGACGTCAATCTAGCACGATTTTAGAGTTGACAAAGTTGGTTAAATGGTTGCTGCGTGATTCTTACCCTGCCACTAACCGCTTAATCCAACGGTGGCTTGTGCCATGCACCGCAAGATTTCTCTTTTAA